GGGGGGGGGATTTAATCTGCAGGATGTTGCCTGGCGCTCCAGCACCTGCCGTGTTTCACCCGGGGGCTTATTAGTGGGTCAGCGTTTTCCCTGATGTTGTGGTAAAGCGGAACATCTGTTCCTAATCAGTGAACGTCTCTGCTGCTGCTAATGTGGCTGCTGCTTGTGTTTTACAGATTTTCTGGGGGCCGTTCCAGTGGAGCAGCACAAGCAGGAGGAAGGTGAGGACGTATGATGTGGCAACGTGGGGCAAAACAACCTCATCAACCTAAAAACCAACTGCAGAAACCTTAAACGCTGCTATTTATAGGGAGATAAATGCTCCACGTAGCTACCTTTTCTTTCCATTCTGCCAATTAGCACCAAATAACTCACATGTTGGTTCACAGTAAAACACAAAGTCTGAGGAGATCTAGTTTGGAGCTAAAACAATTAGTCAACAGAAACAGGATTGTGATAATGGATTAAAGTAAGAAGCTAAAGTGCTCTATGAGAACTACGTCAGCCTATGATACACGATAATTACCAAGAGATTAAGAGATTAATCTACTTATAATAGAAATAGTTGGGCCAATTAACCTGATTTAACAACAATAGGATGCAATTCACACATTTAAATTAAATATAAAAGAGCTTCTAGGCTATCTTATGGAGGTGCAGCCAGTCACAGCAGCAGCCTTCTATAGGGATGCATTTCTGGTGGCTGTAAAAGCCAGCCCATGCTTTCCCAGATTAAAGCTTCAGTGTGAAGTTCAAGCAGTAGAAAAAGTTTGGTTTGCTTTAAACTTAACACAGCTTATATATATAATACGATAAAAATGCTTCACCTGGTCTGTACCAGTGGAAAGGGACCTGCTCACTGTTAGTTGTGTGATGGCCTATAAAGTAGCATATATAATTACGTTCTATAGGAACATAATTAAAATTAGGGAAGGTCCTGCTAATATATTCTGCCCTGTTGGGGCATTGGCATCTCTGTGGGTCTCCTGTGCTGTCTGGCACCGGGACACTGAGTGCATTCTTTGGTACTTGGACAGCACCTTAATCCAAAGACAGACGTTTATAACGATGGTTTCAGAAATAATAACTGTGTTTAGTGTATTTTAAACTTTTGGAGCTTTTAAACACAATCACTGTCACTGTGTTGTTCTTGAAATGACTATTTAAAACAAAGTGTGAAAAAGCTCTGCCCACTCTCTGCACAATAGATTCACAGCTCAAGCTCTCCTTCACCTACAGCTGAGGGGAGCAGGGTGATCTCTCTTTGTCACCCATCTATGGACTCTGCCTCTTAACTATAACAAACTGCATCCTTTGCTGCCAACAGGATTTACCGTTCCAATTATAGATGCAGTTTAATGAAGGTCAACAGTCAGTTCATCAGACTTTTGTGCACTGTGTCCTCTGCAAATACAGATTTGGCGTTTTTATTTTACATTAAACATTCCTGTGGCTCTAGTTTGATATCAATGAGTTCTGCTGTCCAGTAATTGGTTTATAACATCTCCACTGGACCTAAAGTCTCGAATTCAGCCTACTTAACAAACAAAACTGTCTATATATATCTATATACATTGATAGATATATAGATATATATCTATCTATACATATATATATATATATACACATATATATCTATACATACTATACATATATAGATATATATATATCTATACCTATGTATATGTGTGTGTGTGTGTGTGTTAATAATTTAAAAAAAAAATCTTCATAATAAGCAGTAAATGATATATATATGATATATATAGTATAACTACAGTCCTGTGTGTTTTCTCTTCTTCCTTCCCTTCAGTGGCCGCTGTGTCTGATGATGTGAAAGCCGAGGCAATGACCAGCCTAAAAAAGCTGGTTCGTGACAGAAGGAACGTCCCCGTCGTGGCTGTGCCCCAGTTCAACCGCGTGCCTGACTTCTGGGGATGGTACAAATACTTCATGGACAGCCACAACCAGGAGGGAGTGAGTGGAGCTTGTTTCACATTAATTATTCAGATTCTCCCAGTCACGATTATGAAACTGTGCTTATTTTCCCTTTAAAAATTGAGGCAACAATTTGCGTCACTACTCTGCACTTTGAGGAGAGCTTTTCTCTCCTTTTTAAAATTAAATATGCCACGTTTAATGCAGGAAACAGAAAGGTTCAGCCACCTTTTTAGTTTTAACAGATTCCTTATTTATGCAGTTCAGAGAACTAAATTTGCCCAGATATTTTTATAGAACAGTTTTTAAATAAGCTGTTAACCTCTTAATGTGTTCAGTGTGTATTACCCGTGAAAGCTCTGTGGATTACACAAAAGTGAAAAAGTAACTGTTTTTCTCAACAGAGGATTTGTGCAAATTTATCTTTGGAGTTCCTCTTTGTTTTACTTTTAATTCAATTCAATTCAATTCAATTTTATTTATATAGCGCCAAATCACAACAAAAGTCGCCTCAAGGCGCTTCATAGATACAGAGAAAAACCCAACAATCATATGACCCCCTATGAGCAAGCACTTTGGCGACAGTGGGAAGGAAAAACTCCCTTTTAACAGGAAGAAACCTCCGGCAGAACCAGGCTCAGGGAGGGGCGGCCATCTGCTGCGACCGGTTGGGGTGAGAGAAGGAAGACAGGATAAAAGACATGCTGTGGAAGAGAGACAGAGGTTAATAACAGATATGATTTAACACAGAGAGGTCTGTTAATACATAGAGAGCGAGAAAGGTGACTGGAAAGGAAAAACTCAATGCATCATGGGAATCCCCCGGCAGCCTACATCTATTGCAGCATAACTTACTCTCTATGGCCTCTGCATCATTTGATTTGATTTGATTTTTGGATGGTTAACTTGTTTTTCCCCTTTCCAAATATCTTCAGGTTGAGGACCTGGATCGTCTGTATGTGGCCTACCTGCAGAACAAGCACAGGTCAGAGGAGGGGCCGACTTTTAACCACTACCTCAACCACCTCAGCGAAATCTACAAGACCTGTGCCGAGTCTGAAGATCCGGAGTGCATCGCCGAGTTAACTAGCAAACCAAAGGCGGCCGTGGCGATGCCTGCCCCCATCAAGTCTGCTGATGTCAGGCTATGCAACCCCTATACTGACCCCTACTGCATGTTCCCTGTTACCAGCAAATCTGCAGCCCCTGAGCCACCTTCAGCTCCAGCCAAAGTGCCAGCGCCTATCTATACCCCGGTGCCAATGAAGAGCCAAACTGGTTTCTACTACTACGCTTCTGTCCTGGAGCCCTTCCTGGGTGCTGAGCAGAGTGCTGAATTGCTCAGAATCTGCCAACCTGAAGATGTAGAGTGTCTGCAGTATCACCTGAGAGCAGCCTATGGGTACCGTCCAGCCCAAGGTCCAGCTCCATCTTATGCTGCCCTCAAATGCAACCCAAAGGATCCCTACTGCATGGCTTCCCTGGTCCAGAAATCTCCTACTGGCTTCTACCACTTGATGCAACCCGCTCCTCTGGCTGCTAAAGAGCAACACTGCAACCCCCTGTTTGATGCAAGCTGCAACCCCCTGACTGCTACCAGGCTGGCCAGCCTGACCAAGCCTGTGGTGGAGTATGCCCCCATAAATCAGCCTGCACATCCTGCTGCTCCTCTGTCCTGCGACCCTCGCTACGACCCATACTGCATACTGGCAGCTGCTGCCGCTCTGCGCAAGCCGCCTCCACAGCTACCAGAGCACCAGGTCTGAATCTGAAGTCCTGTAAACAGGCTTGAATTTTTCTGTCATTTCATCTAATCTAGTGTAATCCTTCTGACTGAATAATTCTTTAATTCATCTTTTCTTTAACATTTGGTCTGTTTAATAATGTAGTAAAATGATATTGATGTTGAATAATGCTTTCACGGTCTGCTTTGCATCTGTTCTGATCCAAAAACATATGAATCAATCAATCAATCAATCAATCAATCAACCAGGTACGCTACAAACTTGGTGTCCGTGGCAAGACCAAGGAGGGCTACGACTGCTATGTGCATTATGACAGAGACTGCATCCCAGTCGAGAGTAGTCGTGAGGCTAAGGCTGACGTCATGGCTCCAGCCAAGCTCTTCTGCCATCCATTTGACCCCAACTGTCACAAGTTTGCTCCACCCTCTGGTGCCAAGGCCATGAAATCAAGTGAGGATGGCATAATCCTGCCTGATCCAGACTGCGATCCTGAATACGACTACAACTGCCGCCTGCGTCGTGCTAAGCCCGCCGCCGCAGCCGCCGCTGCAGATGAGCCGGCCAAGGAGGCTGCTGGTCCACAGCTTGCTGTTCCACGCTTCGAAGATTTCCTCAGGGGCGTCATGAACCAGTACAAATAGATTTTAAAATAAATCAGTCTCAGAACCAACACCTGCCAGGCAATGCAGCTCACTCTGCAGTCTCTAATTTTCCTCGACCACAACCTTCGACAGAAACCTGAAGGCCTCACAAAGCTTCAGATCAATCATAAAACAATGCAGCTTTTAAATAATCCATCTCACTCTCTCAAACAAGGTGAAGGCTTCCTAGTTTTAGTCTGGTCTTATAAAGTAGGAACAAGAAAAGAGTGCCATGCCACGTATAGCATCGTGTGTTATGTTTGTATGTTTGCCGAAAAGGTGTTTGTATAGATGTGTGGTAGAGTTAGGTTACTTTGAATTTAAATTAGTGGGCAGGATTTTCTCTCTGTTGTACATTCCCTTTTACCTGAGAGTATTTAAAGTTAGTTTCAGTGGTTTTCTGTAACTTTGATCCTCACGGAGCTTCATTTGTTTAGATTTTGTAAAGTTCTAAATAAAGAAAAAAAATCCCTTGAATTTAATTTCTAGATAATTGTTGTTTACACTGCGGTCACAGACACATCTGCTTGGCAGCTAAACATAGAAAAAGAGAAGAAGCAAAACACAGAGTCAATCTATTCCAAATACTGTGATGCTTACTCCGTGATTATACACATCATTTCCATGCATCAGTCCCCAGCTGTTGCAGTGAACATGCAGGGGTGTATTGTGCCAGCTGGCAAACAGTGTTAGGCTTTCACCGGTTTGTGCCTATTATAGAAACAGCTTATTATATGTGCAACAATAAGCTGTTTATTTCCAAATACAATTACCATAAATATATATTATAAATATAAATATAAATATAAATATATATTTTGAAAGGTAGTAAGCAACCCTGCAAGACCCCTGATGAATGTCTTTGAGGTTAAAGGCAGTGTTTTTCTTTTCATTTTGCTTCTATTGTCAGAGAAACACGAATGCAAACAGAAAATGATGAGGCTAATTATGGCAAACCCTTCCACTTCCTGTGACACCCATAGTATAAAAACTAGCTGCACCTGAGCTAGCTGTCATGGATGGAGTTAATGAAGCTAACTGCCAACATTGTTTCTTAGTTTGGGCAAGTAGAATATCCATAATATGTCTGAGTTAATCACAAATGCCCTGTTTTTCTTACAGGAAAGGTAAGTCCTTTAAAATGCTAGCATTCTGCTAATGCATGAAGATGATGGGCCAGGTAACAATTTAGGCCTGGACATGCTCACATGATGGAACCCAATTCCAAACAACAGCTAAAACAGACATTGTTAAGTATCATTAAATCAGAGGTGGGTGAAGGTGTTTGCTGCTAGAAATTCTTCAGTTCATTCAAGTCCAAATTGCACAAGCTCTGAATGAGCTCATGCTGGGGTGACATCCCATAAACTTACAGAAATATAATTAGCAATGATTAAAACCTAGTGACTGCTTTAAGGTTAGGCTTACTCCACAAAATATATGTTTTTAGGTTACAGCTCCATGGTGACCAATTCATTCATCTGAAGCGCAACCTGCTGTGTAGCTGGAAGTCCAGAGTATGGAGCTAAAAGCTTAAAGGACCAGTTATGCCAATAATGCTACTTAATGCATTAGTGCATGGATGTCATATTCATTTTAGATTGCCCACTTTTGTGTTCTGGACCAGTGAAACCCTCCTTTCTGCCAGTGTAAAGAAGTTTAACTCTGCATTTCACTCGCTGGGCCCACGTCCTTAGTTGAGGTTTGACAGCGTTTTAGTAGATAGAGGTGAATGGCTTGGACATGAATTGAGCTGCGGTTTGGGGAAGGCCTCAAAGGAGACTGGTGGTGGCTCCCGGGCTTGGCAGATCCCCATGTACTAAATAGAAGTGAAGAAGTTAATGAATTGAAAAGGGGAGGAAGGGTGGGGCACGTAAACAAGAACGGACAGCATGTAGAGCTGGGGGAACTTATATAGATGAGAACCGAAAGGAGCATGTTCAGTTCTCATGGTCCGAACTCATGGTCCCGCTCCCGAAATTCTGATACTTTATCTCCAATTAATCTGTTAGAGATCTAAATATATGAAAAAAGTGCAATTTCAACAGCATATTTAAAGAAAAATTGATGTAGTAAATAACAAATCTGTCAGCACAACTCTTTGGGTTTAATTTATAAGAAATAAATGTGTCAAATATTGTGTGTCCTGTAATTATAAAACAGAAAGTTTTTGTTAATTAACAGAAAATGTCCTATTTTTAATTGTTTATTTTAGTGGGGACAAACTGTTCGAAGAATCAAAACACATTTCTATGTGTCTAACTGTTGTGTCATTTAATTAGTTATCTTTTACTATATTACTTTGGTGTAGTATGAATGACCTCGGGGGAGGTCTCTATCAGCAGGAAAAACTTTAAAATCTATGAAAATACAATACTGGAGTCTTTGCCGTGCTGATTCTGGACCCCTAATCAGATAAATCTTGATGGTACACATGATTTGAGATATTTCAAAGATTTCTAAACTGGATGTCACGTCATTTGTTCAGTTTATCACTAGACATGTAAAGAATCTCAGTGTGATCAAGTAATGAGAAACAGGAAATGAAACTGCTAGTGTAGTTGTTTTACGATTGGTTATTCTGGCAATATTAATCAATGCAGGCTTTCTAGCTTGTACGCAGCTGCAAACTGGCATTTTTGCTGTTACTGTACAAACCCCCACATTTATTGTAAATCAAGCATATCCTAACTCAGGAGGTCTGGGAGACTCCTGCAACTTCTTGAGTTTCTGTTTTCAGGTTTTATAAAGTTTTCAATGTTTTGAGCACAATTTAATCCCCAGAAGAAGACAAATGTTAGCAGTTGCTTATCTCGTTCTATTTTAAATAGAGTTTGTGTGCCTGTGCTTGTCTGGTTGTAACAGGGCTGTTGAGTTTTAAAATCTGCAATTTTTTTCCCTGCATTTTTATTAAATAATAGCTGTACATGTTAATATATTCAGCTTCCTGTAGACCATAAAAAGTAATATGTGTACTTCAGCACATAGATGGGTTCATACAGCTCTCTCCACACATAACAGAATCAGAGAGTCTACCAGCTGATCACAACAAAAATGAGACCCAACATTCACTTTGGATGATGAATGAAGGCATTTTTCTCAATCTTTATTTAAGAGGTGGTTGGTGCTGTTTTTCACTCAAAACCTGAAACTCCACATTTCAGAAATGGTTTGCAGCTGTCAGATACAAGGACTGCTTTTCAATAACAAACGTTTCAGCAGCTGAAGCACAAAACAGTCACCTGGAGCAGGCAAACGCTGTTGGTGATGACAGCTTTAAAGGCAGACAATACACGGCTGGGTCCTGTAATGACTACCTGCATGCAACATGTGTGCAAGAAAGCGCTGCGTGTTGCTAATTGTAGCTGTTGTCCTGTAAAGTTTGGATTTGTGCTGAGCTCTTGTGCTTGTGCTGCATCAGACCAGCGTGGTTTACCCTGCTGTGTCTGTGAGTTCAAAGGGTCTTACTTTCTTAAGTGTAGTGAATGACCGAAGGTTTTACATTGTAGTGCAAGTCCTTTAAATGAATACTGCTTTATTTCTGTACAGAACTTTTTCATTTTAATATACAATAAACAATGTGTGCAAGATCCAACTAATCCACAGACTCTTTCAGTTACCATAGGAACATGCCTATCACATGCTGTTACAACAATTTAACTTCACTGGGCTTGGGGAGGCATTCATGTACTCCACCCTGCAAAGGCTGGATTCAAATTTAGCTTTTTTTTTTGGGGTCTAATCTACATTTGGGGAATAATTATTGCTCACTTACAAAGAAATGAACAGTCTCTAAATTGAATGGTTCATTCATTTTATATGGAGGCAACAAAAATCCAGAATAAAAACATTACATTAAATTCAGAAATTGATTTGGAGTAAGAACATTATATATATAGTATATACATTAGGTGAATGTGCAGTAGTAGCAGCAGTAGCAAGGTGGAAAGGTGGTGGATCAGCCCAAAACCACAAGGGAGGAGCTTGTTGATGATCTAAAGGAATTTGGAACCACAGTCACTAAAACACCATTGGGAATAGGTTGAAATCTTGCAGCCCCTGCAATGTCCCCCTGCTCAAAAAAACACGTGAACAGCTCTATCTAAAGTTTACCAGAGAAAGTCTGACAGAGAAGGGTTGAGAAAAATCTTTATTTACTGTTACAAGTTGTAGATTACTCATTTATGATCTGCACAACTCAGGTCAGCTGGTTGTTGTTTGTGGCTTTCCAAACATGTGCTGCCAACAGGGAAGCTGCATAGTGCACTCTGGTTGAAGACTGTTTGTCCCATTACTACTGTACTTTTAAAATTTAGATTTACTACTCAATATAGTGAGGGCCGATATATTGGTTGGGCTCTACATAGAAGGCATAAGTACCTAAAGACAGACCAGAAAATGCTGGGGAACTAGAACTATGACCAAAACACAGAAACTCATCAGAGAAACCACAAAGTAAAACAAGGATTCACGGATGCAATGGTATCACAATCAGATTATCAAGTTGGAATATCCACTCCAATCATGGCCTGTTCACGCTGATAACACATCATACATGGTGCAAATTAAATGAATCTTAAAATGTGAATCTTGATATTTCTCTTCATTATTAGGTAAAAAATTACATTAAAATAAATTCTAGGGGTGTTCTGTCACACGGAGAGTGTTGCTCTTTTACATGACATGGGTAACATCGGTCCTGGACTGTAGTTGTAACTTGTTTGTTATAAACACATCTTGCTAAAATCTACTGTGTGAATTCTTTTACTGGCTGAAATACCACTCTTGCTTTTATCAGATCTCATTGTGCCCTTTAGTCCTGACTGTGAAGCCGTTTCAACCAGATCATTTTAGCACAAATTCAATTTTTAAAGGTGACCTACTAATTAAATTCTCAAAATTTAATTTGCTTCATTTAAGCCTCAATCCAATAAACCATTTCCTGTGTAAATGTGTTTAACTGAGATAAAGAAGACAAAGTACAACATTTCAGTGGCGCTTTCACCTCATTTTGGGGTGTTAGGCTTCATGTTTGCATGTCACCTCCAGCAGGGGGGGGCTGACCTCTCAGAGCTCATTGCTTCAGCTGCTTCAGGTTATCCAGCTGTCTGACAGAATCAGTCTCCATCTCAGTGTGCGTGTCAGGCCTGCCTTAATAAAGCCTTCATTATCAATAAAAGTCCTTTCTCTTAATTAATCAGTTTATCCAGCATCGGTTATGTCAGCAGTCCAACCCCTCGCTGATACAAGTGAAAACATTTTAAAATCCGAGCTGTACGAAACACTTCATCAGAGATGAAACTTTGATATCTTTCGGTGTGAGACGTGTGAGAGCGGCATAAAGTGTCAAAGCTCAAAATTGAATTTCATTAAAGGTCGTCTCGGGGGAGCAAAGATCAAACCGTGTGAGGAGGAGAAAAAGAAAATGTTTGGAATCAATTTCAC